GAAAGAGAAATCAGCCTAGACTACATGTGCCACAGAAAAGACCCTCCTCCATTGTGTGGCATGCCAGTTATGTACTTAAGTGAAGATAAAATGTTCATCAGTCCCGCTCAGGAACACAAAAGGAACAGTTGCTTAAGGAGACAGACGTAGGCAAGTATAACTTATCCCTCCTGCAAGGTATAATTTGTGACTATTCTGAACACTGCACCCATTGTAAAGTCATGAAACAACTGTTGAAGTTTTGAAAGAATATATGCTAATCTCTGGTGTAACAGCTGAGAATTTAAGGGGTGAAATATGTGACTATGGCTGGTTTTAAAAGCCAATAATTCTCCTTTCATAGCATGGCTTTGCAAATCATGGGTGAAGGCACTTTTTATTGGCGTGCTCCCACCGCTACCACAAACAAAGTGTGAAGATAGGCAGGAAGTTTGATGTGGCCCCTAACAGGAAATCGGTGACTAGATGGTCCCTAGCCTCAGCGTGGAGTGGGCAGTCTTCCCCATCTAGCCTTTCTGACTCTTCAGATGACCTGAATGCAAACACTGGTATTGCCCCTGAGCTGCTTCCCCTGGCAGACAGTTGGACATGTCACTGTGCCAGCCTGCAGGCTGCCCAGGCTGACAGTGGGGAGTATCACGACAGAGAGGACAGTACCTGAGACCTCCAGTAGGTATAACCCCCCTGCACACACACGCATGCACACATGGCCCTTGCTAGGTTGATGTGGCTGTGCACAAGTCCTAGTTTACATGTACAAATAAAAGTCACGATAAAGCTCCAGGCTTGCCTGGCACTGGGTACCTTGGCCTTCATTCCTGGTTGCAACTGAGGAAAAGCTGGTACAGCTCAGGGGCGGAGGTGTGTGTGCGTGCAGGTGCAGAGACATATTGAGATTTAAAACTTTTATTAGTGAATATTAAAAAGCATAGGTATTTACATAGCTTTGTAGAGCTGGAAGAGAATATAGGACCCTGCACATGGCAGCTACATACCACATAGCTGGTGTATGTGGACACAAGCTAGAAGATGCAGTGAGTCATGCAGCCTGGGTTACATCTGTACATAGCCATGGCTCCCAGTGCCCCCATAACCAGGGCATTCACACTGGGATTGCCCAAGCAGGCTGTAAATCCATTCTGGGGTGGGATTAAGCAACACTTGTTTTAGGGATGATATATTCCATTTTCCTCCTTACAGCTCTCTACATAGAAACTAGCCCAGTTGCTGTCTCTGCAGTGTGCCCCATGGCCGGAGATAGCATCCTCCGCTGGAACAAATGCATTCCTTTCCCCCTCAAAAGCAATCGTTGGCATATAAGGGCAAGCTCCTTAATGAAAACAACAACTTCCCCATTGCCCTTATGTGCCCTTTACATAGCAGACAAATTCTTATCAAAGCCACTGAAAGGTAACTGCGTTTTCAAATACATTTTTAATTACGTTTCTTCCTTGAGAGACTTCTTGATTTATTGTTGGTTCCACTGTTTGCAACCCAGCGCGTGCGATACCGCCACTACTTCACTTCATCAGCCGCTCGTCTCAGATTCTCGTTGTGATTATTATTGCTGTACAACGGGGACCGGCATGTAGCAAGGAGAGTGGTCACGGGGAATCAGGACTCCGGGGTTCTTCCTCCCCCCGCAGCTGTCTCGCCGACTTGGTGCGTGACCACGGCAAACCTTATATTACATTCGATTCTCCTGTTCACCTAGTTGTGAAATGGGGAAATTACAAAGGTTAATTAGCTCATGTTTAAAGAAGCACTTGGGGATGTTAAAAGCGATTTCCTGTCAGTGCTAAATATTGCAGGTTGATCTGAGCTCACTGGAGGAACGGCCCTGCACAGGTGTGCAGGACTGCTGTCATTTATTTTAGGAGGCAGTTTTGCTATTTTGAAAATAACAGCGTTGAAAATAGGAAAATAATCAGGGGGGTGAATCACCAGAGCAAGGGGATGATTGGGCATAGGTTGCATTTCCATAGGGTGGGATCGTGGCTAAATGTTCTTTCCATTAGCCAGGCGTTTGCTGTTTGTGTCGGTCACTAACAGCAGGAGGAAGCCGAAAGGGAGGAACTGCTATTTGGTGACAATAAATAAATACATACATTCCCTTTTACATCCTTGTTATACTGCTGCCGTAGAACCTCATTTTCTTTCAGACACGTGTTTTGGACACCTTTAAACCAGGTATTTCTGAAACCGTAACCGAGCCCAAGAACTACATCTTAATAGACTGACCCGCGCGTGGTCCACTTCCTGTCTAGTCTGTAATTGCAGAAGATCACTCTGGCAAACAGCACTGATTGCCTTCAGGGAAAGGTGATAATAGAAAACTTTGGGTATTTTTAGCAGCATTTTTACCAGCATCATAAGATTTAGCCAGATTCCAGCTGGCACTTTGCAAACTGATCTGGCCCATTTCGACCACCTTGGTCACCAGCATTTGCTGCCCATAAGGATTTGGTGCTAAACCAGCTGCTGTTTTCTTATTCAACCACGTGTCCCCTTTCTCATGGGCTAAGGCTGTGAAAGCATTGCTTTCTCTTTTTGCAGAGTGATGGCATGTGAATGCTACTGTTGCCCAACATGGGCAGTCCTGATGAAGGCTTCTGTTACTTTTTCTGAACACATGTAAGGCAGCTCAACAAGTGGGCAATAACAGAATATGCACTAATTATTAGACCCACACCAACATGAACGCACTATTATTACAGCTGAGAAGTCGAGCACTCAGCATCTATGGACTGCAGAGTTAAAGCCTGAAAGCTCAGCCTTTGCTCTGCCTTCTTATGCCTGCTCCTGACGATAATAGTTAATACTGAACATCTCCACCTTGCAGCTGTTTTAAATCCAGAAAAGACTGTTCGATCTCTTAACCTGTCCGGTGTAACTGAACCCATAGCATGTCATCCTGTCACTCTTGTACTGAGCAATGTGTTTGCCTAAAATATATTATCCAGAAAGGTTCTCAGTCATGATTCAAAGAAGCATAAACGTACAGAATCCTATTCCATTGGTTAATCATCCCCACTGTTACTATGTGTGTCTAATTTCTCATTTCAATTTGTCTGGCTGTAACTTTCAGTAATTAGTACCTGTCATGTCTTTCTCTGCTAGATTGAAAAAGGCCTCTAGGATCCTGTGTTTTCTTTCTATGAAAGCATTGATATGCTGTAATGATGTCAATTCGCAGTCTTCTTAAACTAAACAGATCAAGCTCTTCAATATTCCTACAACGTCATTCTTTTCAGCCTTCAAATACTTTTTCTAGCTTTTCTTTATGTTCTCTCCATTTTTTTTAGGATCATTTTTTACAATGTGGATACCATGTAGAGAGGTAGTCAGCCCACTTTCCCCTATTTTCCCTATTGCATCCAAGCATTGCTGTAGCCTTTTTGCACCAGCATCACCCTGGGAGCACATGTTCAGTTGCTTGTTCTTTCTGACCCCTTAATATTTTTGGCATCATTGATGTCATGGATACAATTTCCCGGTCTCTATGTATGACCTACAGTCTAGGTTCCTAGACACATAACCATGTGTTTGATTGTATTGAAATTAATTTTGTTGGAATGGGTCCAGATCGCTCTGGATGGCTGCCCTGACTTTGGTGTTCTTTGCCGTTTTGACTTGAGTGAAATCAAGTCAAATTTGAATTTTCTGGGTTTAGTTGCTTCTCGGTTAGTCTGATGCAAAGATCTCATTGCACTGCTTGGACCTGCATGTTAATCAAAATGGTTCCATCAGGCTGGCTTAAACACTTTGTGAAAATCCACCTGTTATATAGCATCTACAAATAACACACATCGAAGTGCACATAATCACAGAGAACTTTGGGGGGGGGGGGGGGCGCAAACTCTGTCCTAGTTCAATTGGAGGCAGGTAATTTCAGTCTGACTGTTTCCAGCAATTTTAGTTGGGCACAATATTATTTACTTCTTGGTCTATCCTGCAGTGATGCTATTCCGCCTGAGAACCGGATTCATTTCAGTGGTAGGTGAAACGATCCCTGAATGTAGTTTGTATTTCACTTTAGGCTGGTCAAGCCCTGTTGGATCCTTTAAAGGTAAGATAGAGGGATTTTTCTGTTGTCCTGATCTTCCTTTTCTTCTCCCACAGTTTATGAGGTAGTGACTGTGACGGGAGATGTGCGGGGAGCAGGAACCGATGCTAATGTCTTTGTTACTCTCTTTGGAGAGTTAGGGATTACGCCGAAGACTCATCTCACCAGCAAGTGAGTACCAGAGGGAATTTAATAATCCTAAAGCTGAGCTGCATAATTATGTTGCCCTTTTGTTGAAATCATACACTGTTTCGCCAACAGATTCAGGTAGAACAGGGCCAAAGGCATGCAGGCGCTGTCAGGGAAATGCTGGTTTATGCTATGTGAATAGAGACCACCCTATTTATCAGGTGTACCGCACATTAGCTCCGCATCCTCCCTGAGTGCCACTCCGATCCCTTTCTTCTGCCCGATTTGCTGCTTTGCTTTCTGTTCCCTACTCTGTGCACCCTGCCCAAAATCCAGCTCTGCTTTCTGTTTCTTGTCCTGTGCTCCCTACCTGATCTCCTGCTCTGCCGTCCTGCCCTCTCTGCTGCTGTGTTGCACGTCCCTTCCCTGATCTGTGCCCTGCTGCGCACCGAGGCTGCCCGAGGCACTCATGCCACAGGTTGGCCACCCCTATGATATATGAGATATTCCTGGCTCTAGTGCCCTACAAACCTTCGTTGCTTGCTATGTGTGAAGTTGTGCAGACCATGCGCTGGAAGCCCCGTGTTTACTCTCAGCTGTCACCTATGCTCCTAAGAAATGAAAGTGCTCAACCAGTTGTACCCATTACCAAGCAGGTTTGGGCCCTGTCTGTGGGCAGTGCCTACAGCTCTTTCACACGCAGATCTGAACAGCCTCCCTTGGCTAGTAAGATATATGCCCTGGCCCTTTCACTACAGTATAAGAGTTGATGAAGTCAACATTAGGCTAAAGTTAGGCTTCTGGCTTTGTGTTTAGATACCTGAGCATCAGTGGCCTAATTTTCAGAGATGTTAATCCTGCCCCCACCCCCAAATGACCAAGGGTTTGAAGCACCTACAGTCATAAAAGGTCTATGCTCTGGGTGCAGGGATGACTGCAGGGGCTGGGCCAGCAGTGACAGTGGCCACCATTTGTGGATCCAGGGTTAGTGCCATGGTCACCCACCACTAATTACACTACTGGGTACCCAGCACCCTTGGACACGGAGCTACTTTTATTTAGGAGCCTAAATATGGATAAAGGAGCCTAATTTTACCCACAAAAGTGAAAATATGTTGTCCTGAACATTTTAAAAATGATGGTCCCAAACACGTCTATACAGGCAG